ACGCCCGGCACCGCCTCCCCCTTCTCCGCGCCCACCCTCCTCCCTGCCACCCCCGACCGGCCGCCGGAGGGCGCTGCGGCCTGCTGGACCCGCCCGCGCTCGGGATCCCGGTGACCTGGGGACAGGGGCGCCGTGCCTGGCCACTGAGCCGGTGAGCCGCGATTTGCGGCTTGTGAAGAATAACAATTGTGTTTTGTGTCTTCTTAAGGTAAAAATAATCCACCTTTTTGGTGGAAACTGAAAAATACAGGAAACTAGAATTCCCCTTTCACCCCAATACCTGGAGCGATGCGCAGGTAACATTTTTATACAGTTCCAGTCTTTTCTCTAGGCACATGCAGTTTTCTTTTTAAAATTTTATTGCATAAAACTGGCATCAGACTGTATTAGACTGTATATCTGGCATCTCCTGCAGTTTTACCTGGCATCGAGTGATTAGAATTTTGCCATATCGGTAAAGTATTGCCAACATGCTTTTTAATGGTTGTATATTGTTCCAATTATGGATGAACTAGAATCTATGTAGCTTATTGTTACACATTTATAATAGCAACACCAGTTTTAAATATATTTGATGGTGATCCCACAATTCATAAACACTGTAACATCTCAGTGTGTCACATGCATATAGTCATAAATGTGCTTGTACCTACAAAAATAACATCATGTATATATTAGTACATAGGCACACATACACATGAATCCCTGAAACCTCCTGTTCCTGAACCAAACACATAAAAATGAAGTTCTTAAAACATTGAATGTGCTACAGTATTTTAAAAACCTCTTAGAGCGCCCTAAGGTGTGGCTCAGTTGGTTGGACTTTCATTGTCCAGTACACTGAAAGTTCGAAGGTTCCATCCCTGATCAGGGTGCGTTCTAGAGGCAGCTAATCAATGTTTCTCTCTCATATATCGATGTTTCTCTCGCTCTCTCTCTTCCTCTCTCTCTTTCTAAAATCAATAAAACAAACAAGCAATCAAAAAACTCTTAGACTGACCAACTGGTTGAGCATGGACCTATGAACCAGGAAGTCATGCACATGCCCAGGTTGCAGGCTCAATCCCCAGTGTGAGGTGTGCAGGAGGCAGCCAATCAATGATTCTTCCTCATCATTGATGTTTCTCTCTCCCTTCCTCTCTGAAATCAATTAAAAAAAAAAAAAACTCTTACACTAACATAAGGAGTAGGTAGAGAGGAAGGCTGTGGCTCCCAGGCAGACAGACTGAGTAAGGACCTAGGGCTGGATGATGCTTCAAGTGAGTGGATGTAGACAAAGAAGAATAGAGAACCAAAGACTGTGCCCTGGGCTCTCCAAGGTTAAGGGCTCAAGAAAGAACTAGCAAGAAACTCACGAGATGCAGGAAATGTGATATATGTATACAATGGAATACTGCTAAGACATAACTTAAAAAAGAATGAAAGCTAGCCATTTATGACAACATGGATGGACGTAGAGGGGTATTATGCTAAGTGAAGTAAATCAAAGATGAATACCATATGATTTCATTTATATGTGGAATCTAAGAAACAAAACAAGTGGATAAACAAAACAAAACAGAAACAGATTCATAGATACAGAGAACAAAATGATGGTTGCCAGAGGAGAGGAGAGTGGGCGGTGGTGGGTGAAAGGGGCGAAGGAGAATAAGAGGTACAAACTTCCAGTTATACAATAAATAAGTCATAAGGATGTAATGTACAGTATAGGAAAATAGCTAATAATATAATAACTTTGTATGGTAACAGGTGGTTACTAGACTTATTGTGGTATTCACATCATAAGGTATGTAAATGTTGCCTGGCCAGCATGGCTAAGTGGTTGAGCCTTGACCTATGAACCAGGAGGTAACAGTTCAATTCCCAATCAGGGCACATGCCCGGTTGTGGGCTGATCCCCAGTAGGGGCCATGCAGGAGGCAGCCTATCTATGATTCTCTCTCATCATTGATGTTTCTATCTCTCCCTCTCTCTTCTTCTCTGAAATCAATAAAAATATATATATTTTAAAAGATACATACATAAATGTCAAATCACTATGTTGTACACCTAAAACTAATATAATATTGTATGTCAACTATACTTTAATTATATATAAGTTATAATCTGTCCAGATTATTATGACCACCTGACGTTTGTAGCAAACTAGCTATAATTTCGCCCTGAAGTTGCGCTGAAGTTGCTAGAGGGCCAGACCATTATAAATAGGGAAGCAGTTTGTTTACCACAACAGTAGAAGTGATTTTTTTTTCTGAAGATATGGGTAAACAATGCGATTTAACAGCCTTTGAACGTGGGATATGTTTGAATGTGAATGGCCAGGTTGTTATGACCACCTGACATTTGTAGGCAAATTAGCTGTACACTGCATCGTATGGGATATGGAAGCCGAAGGCCTGTTCAAAATCACCAGATCTCAATCCAATTGAGCATTGGTGGGACGAAGTTAAAAGAGCCATCAGGCAGCTGGTTCCACAACCATCAAACCTCACAGAACTGGACAATGCTATTCATCAGGCATGGTGTCAGATTCCTCACATCACCTTTCAACATCTCATGGAGTCAATGCCAGGAAGAACTGCCGCAGTATTGAAGGCAAAATGTGGCCCAAGGAAGTACTAACGGACCGCAGGAGGGCTCCAGGGCATGTCCGGCCCATCTCACTCAGTCCCCAATCGGGCCGGACCCCAGCAGCAAGCTAACCTATCGGTGAGAACATCTGCCCCCTGGTGGTCAGTGCACGTCATAGCGACTGGTCGACTGATCAACTGTCTGCCCCCTGGTGGGTAGAAAGAGAGAGAAAAAAAACATTTATGAGAGACATTGATTGTGTCTCCCACACATGCCCAGAGCCGGGATCGAACCTTTAACTCAGGTTCATGCCCTTGACTGGGACTCGAACCTGAGACCCTTTGATGCGTGGATGATGCTAACCACTGAGAAACACTGGCAGGGCAATAATATATTCTTATTTATTTTTTTAATTTTTAAAATGTTTTTTATTGATTTCAGAGAGAGGAAGGGAGAGGGAGAGATAGAAACATAAGTGATAAGAGAGAATCATTAGGGAGAACCAAGATGGCAGCATAGGTTAATGCCGGAGTTTGCTGCCTCGAACAACCACTTCAAAAGTGAAACTAAAAGACGGAACGGACATCACCCAGAACCACAGGAACGCTGGCTGAGTGGAAGTCCTACAACTAGGAGGAAAGAGAACGCATACCGACACTCAGAGAAGGCGCACTGCTGAAGTCAAATACTGAGGTGCGGAGTG